AAATATATTTATTTCTAGCTACTTGGAGATGTTCCATTTAATTTTTTATATTACAGCTAACGCTTGAATGAGACACGCCGGAAAAGAGAAAATAGCTCGGATGATGAAAATTCACACCCGTTTTTTAATGATCAACCATTTGATTTCCGTGGCATTGTTAATTACTAGTTTGCCTTGTCGTTGAGGTTAAATTAATGGAAAAAACGAGGTGACACATATAATTGCAAGCGACTAGTTTGGTGGCTATAAACAGATAGAAGATCTAGCTCCATCAGTTAATTAAATTCTCTATAAAATATACAAGCTAAAAATTTGGACACGTCAAGCATTCTATACTTTTTTGTCAGTATAAAATTTTGTATATATAACGCGCGCTCTGATTGGCTGGCAACCATGGCAGAGACCCAGCCGAAAGGCGAAATTTGTTTTTCACTCGAAAAACCTAGAAACAATTTATAAGAGAACTATAAAACAGTTTCTTGTGTCTCTGTCCTCTGATATAATCACGGTGGGAGTTGAAAAGCACTCGAGAAGCAAGAGAAAGACTCGCTACGCTTGTGTTTCTACGTTTGCTTCTCTCGTGTTTATATCAGAGGACAGAGACACGGGCGCCGTTTTATATTTCTTACTTGCCTCTGGATACTAAGGAAATTGCTCATTCGTAAAGCCAATAATCGGGTATCATCTTATTTTTCTGCTTTGGTGACTAGACATGCTTGGCTGAATATCAAGACAGGATGATCATGTAAATGCAAGAAAAGAAAACAGCTTTTGCTTTTGCTTTTGCTTTTGCTTTTTTCAGAAATTTAACCTAAAATTATATTTTGTTTAGTGCACTGAATTAAACTGTCTAAAATGAAAACATATAGATGGATACTGAAATAATTTGGATCAGAATTTATTAAATGTGGATCGTTTTTATTTTTGTTTATAAAATTTTTGATATATAACTCGCGCTCTGATTGGCTGACGACCGTGTTTATATCAGAGGACAGAGACACGGCTTATCGGCAAAATTTTCTTTTCGCTCGAAAAATTTTATAAAAGAAATATAAAACGGCCGCTTGTGTCTCTGTCTTCTGATATAAACACGGTAGGAGTTGAAAAACACTCGAGAAGCAAGAAAAACACTCGCTACGCTCGTGTTCCTAAGCTTGCTTCTCTCGTGTTTTTCGAACTCCCACCGTGTTTATATCAGAGGACAGAGACACGCGCGCCGTTTTATATTTCTTAATTTAAGTTCTCAAGAAGCAGCATTCAGATAACTTAGGATATGAAGAATTGTCTATGGCAGTACTTAAAAATTTGCAGCTTGATGAGGAAAACATTTATTCACACGTATGATACACGTATTTTATTTCCCACATTCTTTCTTCCTTCCTCTTTAAAAATTATTTCCCATTCTTTCTTGTTTGTATTTTTTTTTGCTCCTTCCTGTTCCGAAATGATATCGTAACACAAGGCTTCAAGGCTTCAATGTTTAATCTCCTAAAAATAGTTTACACTAATACAAGATCTTATAGCAAGACATTTACAAATAAAGTTCCACTGTTAAGTTGATTTATCTTTAGTCGAACTTCTGCCTAATAGATTTGATTTATTTACAGTATCTATTTTTGAATATACAGCAAAATTCACAAATTATGATCTTTTTTGCTCATATTTCAAGTAGATATATAATATATATCAGAAATTATGGTATATCATCACCAATACTTTTTTTCAGAAATACTAGGCAACTTCACAAAAATATTGGCGATGACATCCCATAATTTCTGATATTGTTTCTCGTGCCCAGGCTACGCCTGCAGGCACGAGGTATAAAATGCAGTGCGTATAATTTTCTTTTTTTTCTTTTTTCCATGTCAGAAGTTAAGCCTCGGGTATCACGATTGCTTTCCGAACGCTGCATAGGAAATGACGTCACCACAGCTCGAACTTGTAGCAAAATCACCCACTGTACCTATCCGTACTACTCCTTAAACCATGAAATTCAATGTAGCTTTTATACCAGAAAATTTTAACACGTTCACAAATGTGGTAACCAAAAATTAACCTAAATGCACATTATCTACGCATGCGCTTCGYTATGCACCGCAGTACTCGAACCCAGGCATTTCAATCTCGTACCCAGAGCCCGCGCTACTTTTGGTCTCCGAATGTTTCTTCTT